TTGCTACTTCATAACTGTAATTTTGCTACTGTTATGAATTATAATGTAAATATCTGATATGTAGGATGTATTTTCATTGTTACAAACTGAACATAATTAAAGCATAGTGATTCATCACAAAAACAATATGTAACTATATAAGTGTTTTCTGATGGTCTTAGGCGACCCCTGTGAAAGGGTCGCTTGACCCTCAAAGGGGTCGTGAATCACAGGTTGAGAACTGCTGACCTATATGTTCTTTAAAATTTTCTAGTGTCCTAATAGAGGGAATATGCTAATTGACCCTCACACCATTGCAAAGATGGTGGCGCCCACAGCCAATAAGGAGAGAATATGCTAATTGACTGCTCCGCCCTCAAAGAAGGCGGTGCCCAGTCCCCTCAGCCCTGCTGGGGCGGCAGGTGCACAGCGAGGCAGGACCCGCCCCCAGGCAGGCCTAGCCACTCCGCATGCCTGCCTCTGGAGACCCCCAGTCCCCTCAGCCCCCCAGGGCCAGGCCAAGGCACAGACAAGCCTTGGATGGTGGCTACTCAGCCGCCCAGGGCCGCCCAAGGCTCAGGTAACCAGGGCCAGCTGAGGCTTGTGCTGCCAGCAGTGGTAGCAGCAGAAGTGTGATGGGGTGTTGCCTTCCCCTAATCTCCGGGTCACCTCCCACCCCTGAGGGTTCCTGAACTGTGAGAGGGGGCAGGATGGGCTGAGGGACCCGCCTCCAGTGCATGAATTTTCATGTACCAGGCCTCTAGTTTAAAAAATAAAAAAAGGTGAAATTAACTTATTAAAATTTCAACATGTAATATATTAAGAAGGTGAATTTACACTGTTTTTATACTTAGTATTAGAAATCTGGGGTTTATTTGACATTCACAGAACATAACAATTCGGTTGGTAAATTGCTTTTAACCTAATAAATAATCTGTGCAAAATACTTAGACTATTCACATAACCAATTTATATTTTTGAAAAAAAAAAAAGTTTAGCCTCATTAATAACCAGGGAACTGCAAATTAAAGCAATAATGTAAAGCTACATCCATGTTTGGCAAAAATCAAAAAATACCAACTGTTGGCAGGATGGTCAAGAAAAAGTATCTATTGTATACTGCTGGTGGGAGCATAAATTAATATATCACTTTGGAAAAATTGGGCATACACAAAATTGTACGCTATATGCATAAAAATACATTTAAAAACATCCATAATAGCACTGCCCATAATTGTTAAAAACTAGACACAAAGCAAATGTCCATTAATATTAGATTAGTTAATTGTGGCTTATTCATAAAAAGACCACACTAGTCCTGACCCATGTTGCAAAGTGGTTAGAGCAGGGTTTCAGGTTCCATCCAGCCTGGTCAGGGCACGTGCTGGGGGAGACAACCTATGTCTGTCTGTCTGTCTGTCTCTCTTCTTCCCCTCTCTCCAAAAAAAAAAAAAAAAAATTAAAATTAAAAAAAATAATAATCAATGTAAAAAATATCCTCTGGTGAGGATTAAAAAAAAATACTACAGTATACTTTTACTGTAGACTATAGACATTACTATACAGCAATGAAAATATACATACTAAAGTTAAATGTACTAACATGGTTATATATTAATAACATGAGAGAAAATAACATAATCTATACATATATAAAACCCTAATATGCAAATAGACCGAAAGGCAGAACAACCGAACAACTGGTTGCTATGACGTGCGCTGATCACCAGGGGTCATGTGTGGAACATGGTGGGCGTTGCCAGCAGGCGGCAGAGTGTGGAACATGGCAGGCATAAGCTGCCACGAGATGGTGGAGCCGGTGACTGGGGGTGCCTGGCCAAGGCGGGGTGCCAATCGCTGTCATCAGGGCAAGCCTCTGGTGGTTACTGAAAATTCTTTGCTCCTGCACACTGCGGTCCCACTGGGCGCTCACACCCGCTGCTGGCGCCGGAGCCGCCACTTGCACCCATAGCTGGCGCTGGCCCCGATTGCCCCTCAGGGCTTCTCCACCATCCCCTGCTCCTGAGAGGCAATTGGAGCCGGTAGCTGCCTCTTGCACCCGCTGTTGGCACTGGCCCTGCTCGAATCCATTGCTGGCGCCTGGCACTGGTACTGATTGCTAGGCGCTGTCAGCTGGTGAGAACAGAAGCTGTTGGCCCCCGATTGTCCCTGAGGGCTTCTCCACCTCCCCCTGCTCCTGAGGGGCGATCGGGGCAGCAGCTGACACTCACACCTGCTGACAGTACCAGCCCTGTTTGCACCTGCTGTTGGCGCCAGCCCCAATAGCTCCATGTGCTGTTAGTGGGTGCGAGCAGAGCCGGCGCCATCAGCACGTGGGAGCAGCAGCAGCGGGAGTAGGACTGTAGGCAGACAAGGGACCGGGAGTCATGGCAGAAGGGGCCGGGCGGGGGCACAGAGGATGGGCTGAGACCCATCCCTGTGCCCACTGCAGCCTCAAGGCCCACAGTTCCTTTCAAGGTGCACAAACTCGTGCACTGGGCCCCTCGTACATAATATGTAACTCATTTACATAAAGGTAAATACAGGCAAAACTGACCTATATTATTTAAGGAATGCTGGCATAGCTAGTTAAAAAAATAGTTGAAATAAAAGTAAGACATAATTCCCATAAAATCCAAATAGTGTTAACTCTGAGAGAAGTGAGGAGGGACGAATGATCAGGAATAGATGGGGGATAGGAATATGTCTCCAGGGCCAACAATGTTCTAGTTTTTGACTTTGGTAATGATTACAGAGTGTTCACTGCATTCATTAGACTGCATATCTATAATTTGTTCATTTTTTGTATATTTTACCACACAAAAAGACGTTAAAATTGTTACCTAAGGCACTCTAATTGCTTTGCAAGGTATTTTTCCGTTAAAAAGTGATAAACGTCTGGTTTTATTATATAAAAAATTTTAAGGTACAAGACTCTAGTTTTTATTTCATTTGACAAGATTACAGAACACAGAACGTAGCAAGCACTAGGATATGATGCATAAATAGGGTCTACTGCTAAAACAAAATGAAGAGAAAAGGTAGTACCTTTAATTGATAGTTTACCCCAAAGGACCCATTACAGATTAGGTAACACCAACACAAATAAATACAGTGGGGCCTTGACTTACGAGTGTTCCGACTAATGAGTTTTTCGAGACAGGAGCCATCTCTCGGCTGATTTTTTACTTTGAGTTGCGAGCTAAAATTCGGGTTACGAGCCAGCTTCAGATACCCCACCGCTAGTTGGCACAGCCAACGTCACAGTGAACGCCACAACATCAGCCCAGCATCACGTGTCTCACTCGTTCACTTTTTGATTTGACATATGAGTAATTTGAGTTACGAGCTCCGTCACTGAACGAATTAAACTCGTAAATCAAGGCCCCACTGTATGAGAAACTTTAGATTCTTGGTCTTAATAGAAACCATAGATGGGTGATAATCTTTCAAAGTACCTTTACAAAACACGCCAACTGAAAGACTGAAATGATTTAAGTTGTATAAAGAGAGTATGAAAAAGAAACAGTGCTGTTTTATTTTAAAAAGCTTTACTAAGCCCTAAGTGGTTTGGCTCGGTGGATAGAGCATCGGCCTATGGACTGAAAGGTCCCAGGTTCGATTCCGGTCAAGGGCATGTACCTGGGTTGCGGGCACATCCCCAGTAGGAGGTGTTGCAGGAGGCAGCTGATAGATGTTTCTCTCTCATGGATGTTTCTAACTCTCTATCCCTCTCCCTTCCTCTCTGTAAAAAATCAATAAAATATATATTTTTTAAAAAGCTTTACTAATGTAAATTCATGAATTCTTTCTTAAATATTTTGGAATTAATTCTGATCTTATGAGGGAAACATTATTTCCAGCAAAAATAGATAGCATTTAATTGAGAAACCAAAGGCTCTAAATCCGAGGCTAGTAACAAAACAACCACCACAAAAACCCTTAAGACACCCATTGAAAAATCTCTCATCTACACCGCAGAAGGTGAAAACTGAGATATGTCCCTTCTCTATCAACAGCAACACCCAATATCAAGGACTACACCATCCACCACCCCTTCCTGAGAACAGGCACAGGCGTTGTTGCAGGAGCAACGCAAGACGCGGAGAGAAATTCCACCACGGCTTCCCAGCCTGCTAGTCCTCCAAGCCCCTCCAGGATTCCAGGGCGGGTGGCGAAGTCAGGGCAGCTTCGCTTCCGGCCCTAGAAGTTGCGGTCATTCACACGGGGAGCTTCCGTCCCTGCACAGGTTCCCTGCTCCAATCTGAAGCAGCGGCCACCAGTCATCTGCAGAGGCTCCGAGTCCGTTGCCCTCTTTACACCACCGAGTGCTGTCGCCACCCCGCCACCGAGCCGGCCTCACTAGGACTCCCCGCCCCACCCGGGATCCGTTGGCGGGAAGGCAGGGAGGCCAGGGGACCAGGAGCCCGCCTGCTTTCTGGCCTGCCCGGCCTACACAAGCCAGCCCCCCGCCCGCATTCTCAGTCTCCAGAGCCTTGCGCCCTCCCCCCCGCCCCCCCGCCCTTTAGATCGCCTTTCACCGTTGGCGCCCCTACTAGGGGCCAGCCTCCCCCACGTTACCTCTCACAGAAAAGTCTGCCCTTACTAGGGCAGAGCGAGATGTAGCCACAGCGGGAACCGTTCCACAGGCTCGCCTCGCAGCTGGATCGGACCAGCTTCACCAGGTGCTGCTAAGGAGACACCGCTACTCCCGGCATGCCGCGCGCACGCGCCTCTCCCACCCCGCCCACCTCCCGCCCCAACACGTGACCTCCTTTGGCCTCCGTCACGCCCACTTCCGTTCCTCCACTTTCCCTAGGAGGGAGGAGGGGGCGGAGGGTGTTACTGAGTAGCGACTTCCTCCTACTCCTCGCCCCCGCCCCTCTACCCCCTGCTACAATGTCTTCCGGGTCGCCAGAGCCTCATAGCCTTCTGGGAAACCGTCTCATTTCCTCCCCTCCCCCTCCTCCTGCCTTCAACCAACCAGCCTCCCATCAGTGAGGGACATGCGCAGTGAGTGCCTCCCGTCTCTTCTACCCGATCCCCCCCCTCCCCCCCAAAGCAGAGAGACCCCAGCAGCAGCAGCAGCTGATGATGAAGAGAGAGGCAGTGGCAGAGGGGGGGCACCTTTTATTTCTATTTTTAAAGGGACAGGACACTAATTTTACCCCACTTCAACCTTGAATTGAGGGGGGGTAGGGGGAAGGCGGCTGAGTTCCTTCCCCCACCCTCCAGCCCTGAGACCTGAGAGGGGGATTGAGCCAGAGAGAGAAGGAGAAGGAGTTTCTTCTTCTTCGAAAACCCCCATCTACGACTCCTACCCCTTCACCCCTCCAGTAGCCTCCCTCCCGAGCCCCCTCCACCCTCCTCTTTGGCCGCGAGAGAGGAGAGAAAGAGACCAAAAGCCTCTTAGCAACACAGACCCTGCTCTGCTGCTGTTGCTGCTGCTGCTGCTGCTGCTACTGCTGCTGCTGCTTGGCCCTGGCTGGAGACATCTCACTGCACCCAGGAGCAGCCACTTCCCCAGCTCGCCGCCGCCGCCGCCTCCTCCACTCCCCCCTTTATTACCCTTTGTGTCATCCTCCACAGCTCCCGGGAAGGCACTCAAAAGTGGGGGGCAGGAAAGGTAAGTGTGTCTGTGGGGGCTTTATTGCCTTCCTCTGGCTCCGACTTTAACTCCGGGGCAACAGTAGCACCAAACCGTGTACGCAGTGTAGCTCCGGGGTGAGGAGGGGGTGGTGCTGGGGGGGGGGGGCGGTGTAGGAGGGGTCGGAGTGGGGAGGGGTGTGCGAGGAGGGTGCCCATCCTGTCAGAGGAGGAAGGGCACTTTTGTGAATATTTGCTGTTGTCAAAAGTGGTTTCTCTCCTCCAGCTCACATCCGATTGTGTGTTGCCCCAGTGGGGGAGAATACAAAAACAACCCCCTCCTTCTCCCGGGGAGCCGCCAGGGAAAGGGACAGAAAGAGGCACACTTTCTGGGTGTCACTTTGCAGAATTCGTGTGGAGGGCTGTGCTCCTGCTTCCCCGGGAGAAGCCCCGCTGCGTTTGTTTCCGAGTGGGAAAATGTCGGGGTCTGGATTGTGTTGGAACTGCTGGTCCATGAGTGGACTGGAGTGTTTTCCCCTGCGTGGTTCTGTATGTGATTTGGGTATGGACTTCAGTGTTGGAACAGACTTGTTTGGTTTTTGCTTTCTGGGTTACATTTTTTTCGTTTTGCCCGACATGCCGAGGAAATTTCAGATTTTTAGTTGACAGAGGCCTTTGGTTAGGTTTTGACTTGTATTATTGCTTTTTGGGGGTGGCCAAATGTTTGTTTCATGTATCAACATATAAAGTTCAAAGCTTAAAATGCTTGAAGTTTAAATACCACTGGTCTGGTCTTTCCCCACATAAGATGAGAATGTAAGCTATTTCATAATTAATCTGGGTATTTTTTTCCGTCGTTGTAACTTGTATGAACAAGTAATCCCCATTGAAAACTTTATGTTGTTCTGGCTTCATGGAAGGCCAAGCCTCTCCATCAATAGTTTGCTGGATTGGTACCACTTTCAGTTTTAACTGAATTATTTATTTACTGTTGTAAATTGAGACGAGTTTTTCCCCTCTTGGGGTACTGAACCAAAATGCTCACTATATCTGAAGGGAGGCAGATTTCTAAAATATGTATTCATGACTCAAAAGAAATCATGAAGTTGTAGTTAGTATATTCATTGTAGTTAGATATAAATCGAAAGATGAAACTAGATTTAGGCTTACAGAGTAACAATCTTGATAGAAATCACTATTCTTACATGGTTTTTAGACGGTATGTTCTTATGAATGGCTTTCAAAATCAGTGCTGCATTTTATTTCACAAATGCTAGAAAGTATGTTTATGATGTAGGCCTTTTATTAGGTCTTACATTGGAGAATGGTATTTTGTTTCATACATACATTTCTTTATGCTTTCCTTGAAGATGGATGCAACACATATTCTCTCTCTCTCTCTCTCTCTCTCTCTCTCTCTCTCTCTCTCTCTCTCTCTCTCTCTTCCTGTCTCTCTCTCTCTCACACCCTTTTTTGTTACTGTATTGGTATCTCTGATCCCATAATTTATGTCAGCAAAAAATATTTTTCTGTAAAGCAGCAATTTTGTGATCAGACTGGCAATATGAAAATAGCAATTTGATCAATTAGAAAGGATTGAAGAAAAAAATCTACAAGGATGTTTGACATAAATATTTTAAAGACATGATAATACTTTTAATTTTTTATTATCTTGATGTTAAAGCCAAAACATAATGCTGTTATGTTTTAGTGACAGAAAAGCATTGCATATGTAGAAATTGGTTCTGTAAAATTTTATCAACTGTGTGCAAAGCAGGCATTTACACACAGGAAAAAAAAAAAGCTGTGCAGCAGTAAACAATATGGTCTTATTTCTCTCCTTTTTGTTATAAATTTGAACAGTTTCTTACCTTTCTCTGAGGTGTAAATCGTGCTCTTAAGCAGAAATCTATGCCAAGTTCAAGTTTTTCTTTCAACATCAATACTATTCCATATCCACCTCAGTTTTCTTGTTCTCCCTTTAATACCTTAGTGCCTTAACATAAGAGATAGAAAGTAGAACTTAGTGAATAAATCAATTTTAAGTAAAGCAAATTATGTGGATAATTAGGGTGGTAGTTGCCCAGCTGAGTGAAAAATGTACAGTCTTCAGCATAATACCTTTACTTGTTTTGTTTCTGCTTTCCTTTGAAAACATTCCTTATTCTACCACCCCCCAGGGTTCCCCTATGTGTTTTGAAGATTCCAGACTTCCGCTGGGTTGGATAATTATTTACAATTAGAAAACCTTTTATTTTTTTATTATGGCTTATTTTTTTAAGTATTAAGATATAATTTAGGATTGTAATTTTCAGCAAGGTGATATTTTGGAGGTCAGTTTATCCAGCTCTTCATTTTCCATATTGCTGAAGTTCAAGAGCTTGAGGAACTTGCTCAGGGTTCCAAGACCTTTTAGTGGGCGGAGCATGGACCAGAGAACCCAGGTCTCTTGACATTCACATTGACGTGCTACTTCATTTTCTAGTAGTTCAGTGGGTTAGAGTGTCATCCCAATACTGCAAGATTGTGGGTTGGATCCCTGGTGAGGGCACATACGATAGTCAACCAAAGAGTGCATAAATAAGTGGAACAACAAAATCGATATGTGTGTTTTTTCTCTATCTTTCTAAACTCCCTTCCTCTCTCTCAAAATCAACAAATAAAATTTAAATAAAGAAATTAGACTATAATCACAATTCTGTGTATAGCACTTAAGGGTTTTATATGGAGGCATATTCTTCTAAGAATATTAAGGTAAATAGCTTTAAAGTCATAAAGTCATAATTTTGTCCATTTATAATTTGTTGATTTTTTTTAAAATAGGTGGATTATTACTATTTTGGGAATTATTTTCAGCTTCCCCCAGTGCTTATTTTCCCCCTGCACTTCCAATTAATCAGTAAATATCATTCTTACTCTTAAAGACCCATATATATAAGAAGAATGCATATTGTATTATAAATATTTGTTTGTGAGTCTTGGTGTATGAATTACTTAGAACTACAGATTTTTGACTTGTTAGCATTTATATCCCTGATAGCACAGTGTCTGGTGCACCGTAGGCCTTACTGGTTGTTTGTCATAATTGGTATTAGCGTTAGGCATATTTGAATCTCTTTATTCCATATGTGGGATTCCTTTCCTTTCTCCTTTCTCCTTTCCTCCTTGCTACAATTTCTTCAGCACCATGATTTTTTTTTTTTTTTGTAATCTTTACTGTGACTCACTTTATTCCAATGGCCAAGTTAAATCCTATTAACAATATAGTACTCATAATAAGTAAAAACATATCCCCCTAATTCTTTTACACGACACAATTTGACAAAAGTAATTTATTTTAAATAAAGGATGATAAAAAATTCCAATGAAAAACATACTAGCAAATGTTGAGGATACACTTAAATTTCATTTCACTGAGTGACTGGTATAGTAGGTTGTCAGAGTGATTAGGTGACTTTTACCAGCTCTTTAAAAACAACTGTTACTTAGGTGACATGTTTCCCTGACTTTGTTTTTTTGGTCCTTACCCAGACAATTATCAGCTTTCCAGTTTTCTATGGATATGAAGATTTACTGCTAGTCATCAGTGGGACCCAATGAAGTCAGCCAGAAAACCTATATCCAACCTATGTACCTTTGCAAACTTGTCTGGATTTTGAATGTATGTGCAAAACACATTGTACTTAGCTATTATTCATTAAACATCACTTGAGTGTCTACTGTCTGTCAGGCATTGTTCTAGGCATCTGAGAAATAAGGATGGTCCCTACAGCTAATGTGAAGAGATATCATAATTGTATTCTAGAAGTGTATTGGTCATATCTTTATTTTGATGTTTCTACCTAAGTAAATTTTATATTAACTTAAATGGATACTGTTAGGTGGAAAAATGCATGTTTAAGAAAGATATTGCTGTATTTTATTAAAATAGAAAAATATAAAGTAAACTTTTCCACTTAATACTATATTCTGGGGATCTCTATTCTGTATATAATTCACTAATTTTAGATAATGAAAATAGTTTATGTGGTTACCATTGCTAGTATTTTATTGTTATATGCTTTAATTTGAAGATGACCAGCACTGTTCCTTGAAATATCTCTTAGTAAATTATTAACAAAAGATAAAACCAAACTTTCTCAACTTAAACATTTTTTCTCAAAAGTAACTTTTTCCTTTTTATATCTCATATTAACAGGTTTTCTTTATCTTTCATGGTTACTTGGAAGACATTGTACGTTATCATTTTGAGCACTTAGTTATTTTCTATCATAGTTTAAGCTGACAGTATGACTTAATTATCATGGAGTAATTGTAGTATACACTATTGAGGAGTTTTGAAATTTTTAATGGGTACTAGATATGTTCCTCCAAGGTCCTCATAAGACACTTCCCAGTTCTTGTTCTAAATTAGTTGCAATTTTTAATCTTGGTTTTGTGATATTGTTTCTGTAACTTTAATAAAATGAGTTGGAAGTTTCTTAGCTTATTGGATGTTTCAAAAACAAAGAATACTGCCTTGGTTCCTGTCATGGCTTTCACGTGTAATTTTAAAGTATATTAGAGAGAAAAAGATTTCATGAATTTCCTTTGCCCTCTTAAGTATAACTTTTAGAATAATACTGATTCACAATTTAAAAGAAGTAGGAATCCCCTGCTGATACAGTATCTTGTGAAGGTAAATAGACTCTGAGAATCAATTCTGATCTCTCTCACATTCATTCTTAATTTTCTATTTTAGTAATAATCATAGTTACCATTTGTTATATAGGTCTAGTACTGTGATAAATTTACCAATCCCAGTCCTGGTGAACTTTGTAGCATTGTCCCCATGTTACAAACAGGAAACCTACTCCTGACAAAACGGCATTGAGCATTTTATTAAATAGCAGCAAAATAGTAACAGCATATTCATGACACTTTCTAATCCAAAACAAAGTCACAATAAAGACTTTTTATCAGTCACTAAGTATTCTGGGAAACATTAGTAAAATCATGGCCCCAGTAGCTAGCTTATTGACTGAGTGATGGAAAATTTCTAAAAGTTTTCAAGGACAGAAAGACAGACAAAAAAACTCAATCCTTTATAAGGAGCATAGATGCAGACCATTGTGCAGCTTGAAATAAAATATGCATAAAGTCATTCTTCTCTTTGTAAGGCAAAAATGATACTTAGGCCTCCTACATATTATTCAACTTCCTTTATCTTGCATGGAATTACATTTAGCACTTTCCTATGCTAAATTATTTGGAGGACCCAACAATTTGTGACACAAAGAATATTTACAGGAAAATTTTTTTATATACCTTTGTTGATAGTGGGAAACCTAAACAAAGGAGAGTTTATATTGCCTAGTGCTTTGGTGTATATACATGTTCCTTCTGGACCCTCTATCTTGCAATATTTTCATAATTAATAAAGTTAATAGGATTAAGTTTAGTGTCTTCTTGCCTACTGCTTCAAGTCTGAAATATTTTTAGTATTAGAATGGACAATTTGTTGGATTCTTAAAATGTCATTATTATGATATACTTCTTTAAAGCAGCACTTCATTAAAATACTTTTTGACCCAGTTGACCAGAGTTGATTTTTTACATCTTGCTTTTAGGAAAAAAGAGTAATTTTTTAAAAATTCTGTTTTATTAATCAAGTAACTTTCATGTCCATCCTAAATAAATATACATTTATCTTACATACTTAACATTGACTCTGTTATCCTATAAGTGTGATGCCAATGCATTAGGAACCATGGGGTTTGGAAATATTTTTAAATGCTAAAGAACTATTCTATGTCATCTATACTTCAGAAAAGAAAGTTTATAACAAATGGTTTCTTGCTTTTAAGAACAATCTGAGTAATTGATGTGATAGAATAAGTTTATGGTCCCAAATAATTTCTTTAGATAATATAAAGGTAATTTCAGTTAAAAGTAAAGATTCTAATTCATCAGCATTTCTGTTTGAAGTATTCTATGTTATGTAAGGTTTCAGAAATTAGAAAGACTCATTATAACTCTTCAGAGAAACAAGATGAGAACCAGGCTTAACATATATTAAGGTATATCTTCTAATATAGCTGGACATAATGGAAAAGAAAACCACTAATGATACCCATACCTGTTGAAAAGCATATACTTCATTCAGAGTTGGATGTGACTAATTCTGATTTGAGTCCTTATTTTAGCTGATCTATATAACCTTTTCTTAGAGAACTTGTAATTAAATTCTATATCATTGAGTAATTTGTTAGGATGTATTGTTTTAAAGGTCAAAAATGAGTTACATAAATTAGTTGCCAGCCTTGTAAGGTCGAAAAATCTTTGGACATGCATGTTTCACTGAGTTCTTTGCCAACCAACCAAGATTCTATCATTGAGAGGAAAAATTTCTGTGCGTTGCTAAGGTTATAACTTACATTCTTGTGCTGCCTTTTCTTTTCTTAATTTAATGACTATATATCAGAAGTTAGAAGCAGACCTAAGTTGTTTCTTAAGATTGACCAAGTGCTAAATTATATCTAGATTTAATCTTGTGTTCAAAGCTATTGTTTTCTATATACAACTTAAATCCAGAAGCTGACTTAATCTGTTGAGTGTTAATTAACTTAATACATATATTCTTAATGTTACTAGTACCTAAAAATAATAACCTAGGCTTTATATACATACACTTGCTGATGCTGGGGGAAGGAATTATTCTGATTCAACAAAAGAAAAGTATTGATTTTTAAATAGCTTCCTTGGGATATAATGATCTAAAAAGCAGCTGCTATGTAAGAGAAAAAAGGGTTTAGTTGGAAAATTAAATATAAAGTTTTTCATTAATGCATATGAAGCAATATCAAAATATTTAAAAGTCAAATACAAGTTCCAGTAATGACAGAAATTTAGAGCCTGTTTTCTGTTGTTCTTTTTTTTACCATTATTCCAAAATCACTTTCCTTAGACATTTGTCACACAGGAGTTTATGCTGAAGGATTTCTTGGCCATTTTAGAGACTGTAATCTAGTTAAAAGGTTTGTTTATGCTTCCCATCTCTGTTCTGCTGATGGTATTAGAATGCTGGCCAGAGCCAGACATCTAACTGTTTATAACATTGAAACTTCAATTAAAGCTACAGTGTTCAGTTCACTAGATATCAGAAGACTCATACTAGCTACAATATCACCAGTAATGCTGGCTTTCCATATCATGTCACTCTTTATGAATACTTTTTTTTTTTTTCCATTTAGGAGGTATTGACATTTAATTCTTTCATGGAAGTTTAAAAATGAAACTTATCTTCTATTAGAAATAGTACAGTATTTCCTAACTTCTTTGGATAATAAAACCTAACAGCTTATATTATTGCATATCTTATTTAAATGGTCCCAGTTTAGTATTTTCAGGATTAGTAAATTCTATAGTAGATGTTAGTTTGCTATCCACCTGATTTGACTTCTGTTTCTAGTTTGAAGAACATATCAGAATGTTGCCCGTTAGAAAACAAAAGTGATAGTCACATTACTCCAGTGTTCTTATATATAGAGAGACTCACATAATATAGATTTTTAACTTAATCTTGCTTTTCTAACTGTTGCTCCTGTTGTCTGTGGTTTCTGTATTCTAATATGTGAGTAAACCATTTTAAAAGTTTATTTTTCTTTTTACAGATGTTAAGAATTCTTTAAAAATATTTCTTCCTCGGCTTCTCTTGATTTTCCTCATCAGCTTCTCTTGCACAATTTACCTCAATGACTCAGAAAATGAATAGTGCGCATATTTTTAAAATTTTTCTAATTAGTAGAGAAATTTGCTCTATTATATTGCTTTTCCTTTTATAAAAAATAAGTTTAGTTTTTACTAATTTTAGACCTTGATTTACTAAATATATATATGCATTCTTTATGTATACTAGTATACATATATTTTTATTAGAATATGAGTTCATAGGGGGTTTAAACATTTTAAGAGATTTGAACAATCATTGTAAATTGAATGAATACTTGCTAAAATGCTTTTCATTTTAATTAAGAAGAAACATTACAATGGGAAAATTTATATTATTCATTTTCTTAGTCACTGAAAGAAGTGCTCTGTTTACTTTGGAATATTATAAAGATAGAAAATTAAGACATACTACCTATAGTATCTGAAGATGGGAATTGACCATCATCATGCAAAATTTAGATTTGCAGGCTAAAAACATAGAAAGATTTCTAAGACAAGCTAACTTGAAAACAAGACAAAATAATATGCAGAGTATGATCCCATTTATATATATAAAAAAACACATACAGATAACATACAAATGTTAAGAATTCTTTTAAAAATTTCTTAAATATGTATTTAAATATATAAATTTGCGTATATAATATAAACTTTATGTAACATGCACATATATTTATGAAATAGAAATTGTATGAAATACAATAAGAAAAGGTCTGGACAATATGTACCAAATTATATCATTTTTTATAGAAAATATCTATGTGGAATGCTAGAAAGTTGAATACTTTGTGTTTTGTGTACTTTAGCATTACTTGGATTTATTTTTATTTTTAACAGTAAGATTATATTTATGTAGTAATTTTATAATGGAAAAATATACTTATGTAATAAATGAGAACTAGATTAACCTAAGAAAATTGTATCCCTCACCCCTAATCATCACATGAATAT